TCCCCCATAGTATGTTTTCATCTCTCAAGTCAACTATTAAGTGGGCACAGCTTTGACACCTTATTTCTGGGTCCTCTGTTCTAGTCTACTGGTCCACCTGTCTACTCTTACGCCAGTACCAGGCTGACTTCATCACTGTTTGTTTTCTTTATAGCTGAATAGTATTCCATTGTGTAAATATACCACTTTCTGATTGGATTTATGCCCTGCTCCATGAAATAGAGTCCATACCTGGCATTATTGTCAAGGCCAAGGACATGTGGCTACATAGGCCAGAGGCTCTAGAGGAGAACCTATTATTATTTTGCTAAATGGACATAGTATTAAACCAAACTTAATGACTTATTGTCATACCCATTTTCCTAGTTAGGGTTACTATTGCAATGATGAAACACCATGACCAAAAGCAAGGTGAGGAGAAAATGGTTTGTTTGGCTTACACTTCCACATCACACTCCGTCATCGAAGAAGTCTAGACAGGAACACAAGCAGGGCAGGACCTGAAGGCAGGAGCTGATTGAAGGCAGAGGCCATTGAAGGGTGCTGTTTACTGAATTGCTCTTCATGACTTGTCAGTCTGCTTTTTTATAGAACCCAGGGCCACCAGCCCAGGGATGTCACCACCTACAATGAGCTGAGCCCTCCCCCATCAATCACTAATGAAGAAAATGCCCTACAGGCTTGACTACCATCTGGTCTTATGGAGGCATTTTCTTAATTGAGACTCCCCCCTCTTAGATGACTTTAGCTTGTGTCAAGGTGACATAAAACCATCCAGCACATCCATAAATTAGTGAATCTCTCAACCCTCATCAGAGAAGTTTCTATTTGCAGTAAGTGGTGATTAATATAGAGACAACTGGTCAAGGTGCAAAGAATAAGAGACTGTGGAATGCTCTACTCTAAGTGGGACATCTATATTATACCTGTGGGGTGCTCAACCCTAAGTGGGACATCTATATTATACTCCCTCCTTCAAAGGCTCCGGAATCATTGTGGAAGAGGGAGCAAAAAACATGTAAGAGCTACCAGGTGTGGTGGTGTGTTGCGGGCCGCAGGAATATATCATAAGAACTCAGCTGGTTATAGCAAAGTCACTACCTGGAGGGATCATGGAATTCCTCCAGAGGAAGCCAAATCCCAAGGAGTTTTTGGTG